CCCAGCCAAAGAGACTGATTATGGTTGGCCTGGCTTGGGACATGTGTTCCCCATGGGACTAGGCACTATGGCCAGGACACTGGGACTGATGGATCCCACCTGGTCATGTGCCCCGCCCCAGAGCTACCTGAACTGTGTGAGCTCTGAATCACACACATGCACACAAAACAGTTTGTGATACTGGGAGGAGAAGGTTCGGATACCGGTTGGGCAAGAACAGCAGATGACCATGGTACGTTTCCCAAGCCTGCTGGGCCTACGTGATTTGCTCAGCTAGGTGCCTATGTGTGGGTGGGGCAGATGGAGGAGGGGTAAGAGAATGATAATTTCTTATTAATTGGTTCTATGTGTCGCGAACCCCTCTTGATTCGGTAGAACAATGCTGTCAGTATAGGAACATAGAGTGATGGTACCTTTTAACACCAAAGCTTAGAAAACATCAAACGCTACTCTCAGAACATGGTTGTTTCAGTTTGAGGTTCACGGTTTGACCCATAGTCAAAGTCTCAGTTTGAAGCTTACACTCAGGATTGGTGAAATACCTCTCCCAGCCCATGACCAAGCAGCAGCTGAGCTCTGCTTAGGGTTAGAGTGGACTCATAGGGCATGGTCAATGCTTAATTGAAGTGAACTCAGGTTGCAGGGTTGGCAGGTTTTTTGTTTTTTGTTTTTTTTTTTAAATGTTAGTGAAATAGACACCATGACTTTTGTACCTCTGTGGGCTAGAGCTGTTCGGGGCTGACCAGGTGCAGAATGAGAACACTGCACAGGAGGAAAAAGGTCCCTCTGGTTTCAAAGAACTCCCTGGAATCCGCTTTGCTACCATCAGACCATCACAAAAGGGACACCAACCAGGAGCAGGAAGTGGGGGACGGGAGGCCCAAATCAGTCTACAGAAATGAAATCACATACTTATGGCTGGCACTCTTCAGGACCAAGAGTTCTAGATCAACCTGTGCATGGTTGCTGAGAACAAAACAGGACACTTGACATGGTTGGACCACAGGGCACTCAGCATGCAGGAGTTCAGAGCCCACTGACAAGAGCATAGGATTTGCTCAAGGAAAAGGACAAACCCGAGGAACTCGCTGGCCCACTAGCTGTTAAGCTTCTGGGGGCCTAGGAGGAAGTAGCTTCCAGCCACAAGAATGCAAAGCTGTCTGTGACCCGCCCCCTCCCCGCCCTGTCCCAGGTGTAGAATATCCACCTGCTGTTTCGGTATGTGGAATGGGGCGATGCGAAGATGGAAAGGGTAGTAAGACAGAGTGCTGACAGAAAAGGTCCTTAGGCGGTGGACAAGGTGAGAGAAAGGCAAAATCTGGAATTCTGGGCTGTGCTCCCTAAGGGGTGAATGCTAAGGGGGTCAGGGTTTTAGTTGTTATATATATGAATAAGTCACACTGTGCCGCATTCCACTGTTCTAGAACATCTCTAATACCAGCTTGTCCCTGGTAAAGGATGGTGGGAAACAGAAGTAAGAACAGGTGACTTTGGGCCCCCACAACCCTACCTCTAGGAAAAACAATTACACACACAGCTGACAAAGAAGGATCCATGGCTCACTGTATACAGAAGACATTTTAATACACAGAGAGGCACGTTCACATTTATATATACGCCACATTCAACAGAAGCAGGTGTTTCCCACCCAAGGGCTGCTTGTTTACAACAGCACAGGTAACTGGAGTTTGGATTTTGAACATCAATGTTTAACGTCAATCAGACACATGGAGCTCCTAAGAAACAGCTATCACAGGTGGACGGTAGGAAACCGGATGCTGTGTGGACAAAGCAGGCACAACGGGATACTGAAACAGACACTATGTTTTGCATGCCTTTTCATTCACCTGTTGAATTAAAGCCTCACCATTACGGCATCATCAAAAGCAGAAACACTGGTTCCTGCTACCTGTACTAGCATTATTTATTTGTCCATCCAATCTAGAAAAGCTATGATGATATAAAGCCTAGTCGTTCCTGGTTAGTACTTTCTTCCGATCAGAGGAAGCTTAACTACTAATTAATTAAATTGCTGTAATTAAGTTCGTAGTGCTTTGTACTCCATGATATTCATCCCTGCCCTAGCAATGACCCCAGCCCAAACCAGTGCTGCCATTGACAGATGTTGGCCATTAGCAGAGCATTTAATTCCCATGGAGACAGGGTTGTGGGCTGGGCTCCCCTGCTGCAGTGTAAGAGTGCTAACTAGGAAGCTTCTGGTCTTCAATACCTGCTCAGACTGGAGCTCCACACAGGTCAGGGCGAAAGCAGTTAGGAGAAAAAGACTGGGAATACCAGTCAAGGGGATGTAAGACTCGGCTTGTTTTCCAAACTTCTAAGCCTTGGTTGTCACGACTCTAGACGAGACATGGTCCACCTGGTTAGGACAGTCCCTTTTGGCCCAAGTTACGGGATCAAGCCAAAGAACCTGATACCAACAAGAAGCAATGACGGTTCAGATTTAGGCATCCTTTTGTTTGGGGGAAACTTTTTGTCTTCCTGTTTAAAATGTGTGGTGGTGGGAGGTGCTTTTATCAGTGTATACAGAAGACATTTTAATGCCTTACAGATGCAATGCTTTTTCATTTCTAACTGGAAACACATTGAGGGTCTGTAACCCGATCGGGCCTGAAAACGCATCTAACTGCTCTGAGGCTGTGCTCTGTAGTTGAGGTGTCCACGGCTGCTGAATGCTCACAGAGGTGCTTTGGGCACGGCAGCAGCACACCGGAAATAAAAACTAGGGGTTCCAAGTACAGAGGGGGCCTTGGGCTCCTATCCGGTTATAACTGGTACAGATGTGAAGCGGCATAAATGGTTGGGTCCCTTCCCAGGGGAGAGCCTCCTGATCCCAGTGCCCTGTGGTGTCTCCCGCAGCCTTTCCTCTGGGATGATACATGCACAAGCGCCAACAGGAGACGAACCAGGTGACCGGAGAGGTACGTCCACAGCACATCAGGGCTTGGGTCAAAACGTGTGAAAGACGGAAGCTGACAAACATGCAAGTGGCCCCTGATATTCCTGGAGTTGCCAGCCTGGAGCAGAACCTGGTCACCTAGTTGGTTTTTTCCATATAAAATTAGAAATGGAGTCAGGGCCAGTGCGTACTTCATAGTGCTTGGAGAAAAAGCAAAACCGCGCCAATAATATGTGGGAAATGTAGGAAAAAAAGAAAAGAAACAGAACAAAAGAGCTGGTTTTAATTCTTAACAAAAATATGGTTGCTCTTAAAGTCGAGAGGCTCTGCCAGAAATTCCGGGCGCATTAGCTCCGTGAGGAGAAAATCCTGAATGCCAAATGAGAATCTAGCACTGGCTTCCTACCCATGTTTAATTGCCCGAGTGCTGCTTCCCTCCTGGCTATCTGGTGTGGCAGGTGCCAGATCTGTTACTTCTGCCTACTCTCTCTGTCTGGTCTTCCCTGTTGCCTCCTCCTGGCGTTTTGGCGAGGCCCTTACTCTCTCTAAGTAAGGACAAGGTCTAGATGATCTGAGTGGCCAAGGCGTCAAACAGCCCCCCACTAAGCCTGTTCACTTGTTGACTTTACCCACTGGCATCTGTCAGGTGCCAGAATGAGGTCCTCTGCAGAGACCTTCTTTGTATCGAGAGAGAGCAGTTGGGTCCTATGCATATTTCACGTGGGCGAATTAAACTCCGTGTTAGGCAAATAAATACATAAAGAAAAAGAGTGAGACATCAATAATTTTGTAAGCAGGCAGTTCCGCCTGCCGTTCTTGGAGTGAGCTGTGCTTCAGTCCGTTTCCGTGACGTTAGACCTCTCGGATGTGGGAGCATCCCGCAGTTCTATTATTCCGTCTATAAAGGCATATATGATTAGTTCAACATTTTGGTTCATCTGATATTATTAGCCAAAAATGAGACCAAAAATAAAAGACACAATCATAACAAACCCCAAGATGGCAATTTGTTTCATTGCTGGAGACTCCCTGCACTGGGCTCTGCTAAGAAAAGATACCTACCATGCTGTGGGTAATTTAAGGGATTTTTCAAGTGTAAATTTTACTATCTTCCAAACTCACCTTCCATTCTAACTTAGACTATCAACCCTGTGTAAGGGACAGCTTCAATGTACCTCAGAGTGGACAGTGCTGTCAGCATGACAATATTATTTTCTGGTCCTCTCCAGACACAGGTCTCTGATAATCTTAAGAGGACAATTAGCTCCCAAGGAACCTACTAGAAGAAGGTGAGCAGTATGCTAATAACTACCTCACAACAGGCTTACCGGGAAGGGGGAAAAAGCCCTGATTTGAAGCATTTTCCAATTTTCATGATGTAAATAGTCTCAGTATTTACTAATCATCACCAATTTCTGTACAATCATCAAATCACTGTACAGGGTAATGGGAAAGACACGCCCAGTAAGCTCTTGCTAGCTGATGTGAGCTGATAATGGTGTGCGGACTCCAGAGCACAACCAGAAACCCCTCATAAATCTGTTAGTTCTAATCAGTTCCCATCCATTTCTTCCCCATTGAATTCCTTATTCCTATTCAATCAGACGTGGGGATTCTGACCTGTTTATGAAATTGTCTAGCTCCGAAGAGCCTCGCTCACTCAGTCTCCCACCAATGTCCATCTGCCCATTTGTCACAGTGTAGTTACAATGTGGAAAAATAAATCTATATCCAAATATTCTTTTTAAAATAAAAATAAAGGCTGTGTAGAATAACAGAATGGTTGCAGTAAAAAGGCAGGACAGAGCTCATCTAGAATAACCCTCTCATTGAGATGAATAAACCCAAGCTGCGGTTAAGTGACTTGCTCAATGCCACACGGTTGATTAGAGGTGAAACTAGATCCCAGGAGACCCAGGACTCCCTGTATCCTGTTGCCTCCTCCCCAAGGCATTCATTCACATTTTCTGAGGTGTGTGAGGTGTGGAGAGGTGAGAACTACTGTCAGCAATTCCTGGCGTGGGGATCAGAAGTTCCCGCCCGAGGTGGCAGGACACGTCCAGAGTAGAAGATGTTGAGGATTTCACACGCGGTTATTCTGGCCATTCTCTTCTTGTGGGTATTTGGTTTGTTCCAAGGTTAGATTAGCTGGTCTTTTGTTAAAGTCCCTTTTTACTCTTAAAAGAAAAAAGCAAACAGTGCTTACTGTTGAAATGAAAAAGAAAAGATGTAAGCTTTGAAATGATAGAATTAAGACCAAAAAGTTAGAAAGAGTTGTGAACCAAGGACCTTCCCCTAAATGGAAACCTGATGCTAAGCTAAATTATGCATTGCAATTTTTTAAATCTTATACAGGGGGTAAAAAAGTGTCTGAAGTTTCCAAATTTTCTATTATGGATATGTGTATAATTAGAAAAAATTAGAAACGTTAAAAAAATATGTTAAGGCTTTGCAAGTAAAGTCTGGCTGAAACATGCCATCATTTGCTGGGCTGGTGTTTAACCAGGGGTTACTTACTTTTCTCTGTTGAAAATTATGAACTCCTTCTGGACAGACTCAAGATGCTCTTGAAGAAGGCACATCTTCCAGGTGAACAGATGGGGGTGTGGTAGGGGAAGAGAGATGCAGTTAGCAGACCAACGAGGACCCTCAAACAACCAATAACCTACTGTCTCTTCAACCGAATGACTCAAATCTAAGACGCACCAGTGTATCTTCAAAGTGAACGCTATCTGAAAGTGTGTGGCAGGAGTGAGACCCCAACCAGAGTAATAGGGGAGCAAATAAGGAAGAAACAGCAAAAGGATAAAACATGTCAACTCCATTCCCCACAATGAGCCAGCAAGGAAGCCATGGGTTATGGTTTATGAGCTTGATGTCTTTGAGCCACTTAGCCCATGAAGAAATCATGGCTTCAAAGTGGGTGGGGAAAAGGGTTTACTGAGCTGGTTGCCTAGTCGCCATTCATCTCCTGGCTCTCTTATGAAAGGTCTGGAGGTTCTACTTGGATTTAATGAATAGCCTGGAAACATCTCTCCACATTGAGTTCTGGTGGAATCATTCCCTCAACAACTGTACTAGAGTTGATTATATCTCAGGTGCAGTGAGCAGAATCTTCTTTGTGAGTACCAGACAAGCAAAACATTTGCTTTGACTCAGTACTGTCCAGCTTTCAACATCTCTTGATGAGTTTTCCATCATAATGAGAAAATTTAACCTCAAAACAGCGATAATCATCAGATCCAGGGCACTGTCAGACCCAGATCAAATGTTTCAAAAGTCTGCAGTGAAATACTTCCAAATTACTTCTGATGGAAAAATATTCCCTGAGGGAAAATACTTATTTATTCATTCATTTTTTTTAATCTAGGAATTAGGAAATTCAAGTCTTCATGTACTGGAGAATTTTGTTTCCTGTGTGAATGTTTAGGTGATAGAAGAGGAAAACAAAAAGGAGAGGAAATTTTGGAGAAGTGGGGAGGGGAGGAAGACAAAGGGAAAGAAGATTCTGCTAAACTTACTCTTGTTCTCAAAATGGGGGATTTGTAACCCTGAGGGTTTCTACTGTCAGTCATGGGGCACATGAAACTGTGGGACAAACATAATCTGATACAGCTTCTTGGAAGCAGCTTTACCCCAAGATTTTTATTTAAAAGTTTGTATACGTTTATATAAACACATATCTATTACACAGCTTATTCATAGTATTCTTGGAAGCATCTTTATTACAGTTGTTCGCTTTTCCCTAGTTTTATTGAGATATAATTGGTATATAGCCCTGTATCATTTTAAGGTGGACAGCATAATGTCTTGATTTTCATATATTGTGAAATGATTACCACAATAAGTTCAGAAAAATCTATCATCACATAGATTAAAAAAAGAAAAAAGAAGAAAATGGTTTTTCCTTGTGATAAGAACTCTTAGGATTTACTGTCTTAACATTTTTCTATAGATCATACAGCAACTTTAGCTACAGTCATCATGTTGTATATTATAACCCTGGTGCTTATTTTTCTTATAACTGTAAGTTTACACCTTTTGACCCCCTTCATCCAATCACCCAAACCCCAGCCCCCTGCTTCTGGTCACTCCAAAGGTGTGTTTTCTATGAGGTTGTTGGTTGGATTGATTCCACATACAATCATAGTATTTGTCATTCTGTTTGACTTATTTCACTTAGCATAACACCCTCAAGGTCCATCCATGTTGTTGCAAGTGGCAAGATTTCCTTCTTCTTAAAGGCTGAATAATATTCTGGTGTGTGTGTGTGTGTGTGTGTGTGTGTGCACGTGCGCATGTGTGTGTATGCATACTACAACATCATCCATTGCTGTTTCTTTATCTTTGCTATTGTAAACAATGCTGCAGTGAACACAGGGGTGTAGATGTCTCTTCAACACAGTATTTTTGTTTCCTTTCAATGTATCTCAGAAGTGGAATTGCTGGATCATATGGTAGTTCTATTTTTAATTTTTTGAGGAAACTTCATACTGTTTTCCATAGTGGCTGCAACAATTTACATACCCACTAACAATGTATAAGAGTTCCTTTTTCTCCATATCCTTGCCACAACTTGGTATTTCTTGTCTTTTTGGTGTGTGTGGTGACAATTTTTTGTGGTTTTGATTTGCATTTCACTGATTATTTGTAATGTCAAGCACCTTTTTTTGTGTACGTCTTGGCCTTCATATATCTCCTTTGGAAAAATGTCTAGTTAGGTCCTTTGCCCATTTTTGAATTGGATTATTTGGGGGGTTTATTGCTGTTTTTGCTTTTGAGTTGTAGGAGTTTTACCTATTTTGGATATTAACACCTTATCAGATAAATGATTTGCACATATTTTTTCCCATTTCATAACTTGTCTTTTTATTTTACTGGTAGTACTTCTTTTGTTGTGCAGAGGCTTTTTAGTCTGATGCAATCCTACTTGTTGATTTTCTATTTTGTTGTGAGTGCTTAAGGTGTTATATCCAAAAACTCATTGTCAAGGCCCATGTCAAGCAGCTTTCGTCCTACTTTTTCTTCCAGGAGTTTTATAGTTTTTGGTCTTAAAGTCTTTAATCCATTTTGAGTTAATCTCGGGGAGTTAATTTTTATAAGATCTAGGGGTCTAGTTTCATATTTTTTACATGTGTATGTCCAGTTTTCCCAGCACCATTTATTGAAGAGACTGTCTTTTGTCCACTGAATATTTTTGGCTCCTTTGTCAAGCATTAGTTGTATGTATTTGTATGGGTCTATTTCTGGGCCCTTGATTCTATTCCATTGGTCTATGTGTATGTACCATACTGTTTTGATTACTACAGCTTTGTAGTATAGCTTGAAACAAGGAAATATGATGCTTCCTGCTTTGTTCTTCTTTCTCAAGATTGCTTTGCCTATTTGGGATCTTTGGTGGTGCCATATAGATAGGATTTTTTTTTCTACTTCTGTACAAATCCCATTGGAATTTTGATAGCAATTGCATTGAATCTTTAGATGGCTTTGGGTAGTATGGACATTTAATAATGCTAATTCTTCCATTCCATGAACACAGGATTCCTTTCCATTTATTTGTGTTGTCTTTAATTTCTTTCATCAGTGTCTTATGGTTTTCAGTGTAAACATCTTTCACCTCCTTGGTTAAATTCATTCTTTAAGTATTTTATTGCTTGTTGATGCTGAAATAAATGGGATTGATTTTTTTTTCAGATAATTCACCGTTAGGGTATAGAAATGCTACTGTATGTTAATTTTGTATCCTGCGATTTTACTGAATTTATTGATTAGATCTAACAGTTTCTTGGTGAAGTCTTTACAATTTTCTGTATATAAAATCACGTCATCTGCAAATAGGCAATTTTACTTCTTCCTTTCCAATTTTGATGGCTTTTACACCTTTTTGTTGCTTGATTGCTCTGGCTAGCACTTCTGTGCTATGTTGAATAGGAGTGATGAGAGTGGGCACCCATGACTTGTTCCTGATCTTAGAAGAAAAGCTTTCAATATCTCACCACTGAGTCTGATGTTAGCTGTGGCCTAGTCATTTATGGCTGTATTAAGTTGAGATATGTTCCCTTGATACCTAATTTGCTATGAGTTTTTATCACGAACAGATGTAGAATTTTGTCAAATCCTTTTTCTGTGTCTCTTGAGATGATGTGATTTTTCCTCTTTCAATTCAGTGTGATATCTCACATTTATTGATTTGCATGTTGAACCATCTATGCGTCCTAAGGATATATTCCACTTGACCATGGTGAATGATCCTTTTAATGTACTTCTGAATTTAGTTTGCTTGTATTTTATTGAGGAATTTTGTGTTTGTATTCATCAGGGATATTGTCCTGGAGTTTCCTTTTCTTTTAGTGTCTTTTTCTGGCTTTGGTATCAGGGTAATGCTAGTGTTATAAAATTGGATTAGGGGTGTCCCCTCCTCTTTGGTTTTTTGGAAGAATTTGAGAAGAATTGGTGTTTATTCTTCTTTAAATGTTTTGTAAAATTAACACCTGAAAGTATCTGTCCTGGGCTTTTCTTTGGTGGAAGAGCTTTGATTACTGATTCATTTTCCTTACCAATAATTGGTCTGTTCAGATCTTTAATTTCTTTCTGATTCAGAATTTGCAGGTTGTATGTTACTAAGAGTTTTCCTTAGTAAAAAAAAAAAAACAAAACAAACATTTCTTTAGGTTGTCCAGTTTGTTTGTGTATAGTTGTTCATAGTGGCTTTCTATGCTCCTTAGCATTTCTGTGCTATCAGTTGTAATGTCTCCTCTTTCATTTATATTTTATTGATTTGGGTCCTTTCTCTTTTTTCCTTGGCTAGTTTAGCTTGTTTTTTTTAGGTTGGATTTTTTTTTCTTTGAGTATAGTTGACCAAATTTTTTTTTTTAGTATCAAAGTATTACATAAAATATAAATACATAGGCATACATAAATTATTATATAATATTTACACATATATGTTATATATGTATAAAACATATACAATATTTTATATATGTTTATATATACATATATTATATATTAACAAAATATTTATATAAACATGCATAAAATATAAAATATATGTAAATATTATGTAATATGTTTCTCTCTATATATTTCTATATAATATATAAACACATATATAAAGATATATGCATATATGAACATATAAAATGATACAAAAATATAACATTAAAAAACTTTGAAATATTAACATTTAAAAATATTTTAATATTAAAAATCAAGACTGTAATCAACTAAAATGCAGAAATGCATGTGAATTTTTTTCTCTATCACATAAATCTATTTAACTTAAAGATATAATAAGACAGATACTCAGAGGGGAGTTTGTGATACAGCAGTGCAGACCCCAACAGTCCCACCCCTGGCCCTTGAAGCGTTCACATTTAACGTGTTCTCTTTCCTCTGCTTTAGGTGAAAAAGTTTAAGATGTGCAGTGACATGGACAATTCAACAACAGTAGCCAAAAGGGGAAAATGAGGGGAAGGAGCGGGAGGTGAACAGACTGGGGGGATGAATGTTTGTCTTAAGTGGCTGAGAAGGAAAGGTTGGTTAAAGCTCTTAGAACTTACTTCTCAGGGATGAGCAGAAC